TAATATCGCAGCGCTTGCATTTTTCATTTTTGCACGCAAACGTTTAAAGAACGAAACAAAAACAAAAGCTAAGCAGGGACGTCCACTTTGCCGTTTTATGACTTTTATTCCATTTCACGGAAAGTCACCAGATTTAGACTTGAAAAAAATGTTGGGCTCGCTTTCAAAGTTCTCATTATTGGCCGATTTGTACGACATCGAGTACAAGTCTCCGGCTCGCTTAGGCCCGGTGGTGTGATCGGCTGTGAAGCCTTTAACAACATTTGAAGAAGGTTTTGACAGTGTATGAAAAAGGATTCTTCAAAAGTCCCTTTCGAGGATATTGTCAAAACCGACGCCGGCAGTACATGAGAGTAGGACGATAAAATATTCAGAAAGAGGATCTTTGACAAACGTGTTGTGTTATTATGTGTGAAACTTGTGGTCAGGGAGCGCTAGGACAAAGGACCCGACTTGCAATATCATAAATACCTCAAAGGGTAAGTAGTGTAGTGTATAAACTGGCTTCCGAGCTTTCTCGTTTCTTTGGGACCAATTCCCTAACAAATCGAAAAGAATTTGGAAGTCAAAAGTGTGTGCGTTTCAAAAGCATGTGAACACCACAAAATCCACGTAAAAAGGTAACCAAGAGGTTCGTGCTATGAAATCCTTCTCAATCGATTTCTCGTAGTCGATAACCTATCAATGGAAGCAAAGCAGATAATATCGCCTCACTTTCAAAAAAATTTTTGGATGAATTTTTTCTTTGTTTCAAAAGTATGTGCACACTTGAAGAAGATCAGATTTTGGCGCCGAATTTTCCACCGATTTCAATCCGACTTTGCTGTTTTCATTTCGTCATCATGTCAATTCGCGCCATACTTCTTCCTGAAGATGAGCAAGCTCAGATCAAGGTTCTGCATGATAATGAACGTTCCAATCTAGAAATCGCACGATAACTTGGTCGTTCTCCTTAATGCATTCGAAGATTTATCTGGCACCCTGATAATTATACTCAGCACACACTCCGCTCCATCCACGATCCTTGACTGCTCAGAACAACAAAAGAGTAGCCCACATCCTGTCGGATTCTTCATTGACAGTCCGAGCTCAGATTTTTATTCCAGCCTCGAAAATGACCACTAAGCCCCTCATCCGCTCAAATGAATACACCACTCGACAGACGCTGAGAAAGGCTACTCACTTCAAGGCCCAGCACAAGTTAGCCACATTGGAGTCTGCTCGTACAGGCAACATAGGATAGGACACCGGGCGAAGACACGGTTTTTCGAGAATTTCCTATTTTCAAAACAAGCAACTTTTTATGGACTTTCTCTCTCAGGTAATCTTAACTCATGGAAAGAGTTCGATCTTGACGGGCCGGGTGGATTTTGCTACTACTGGAGAGGCTTGGCCGTGAGTCGCTCGTGCTCTCGAGAAGGAATTTCGGAAGAGGCCCGTTGATGGGTCTGCGGCGGTTTCGCAATCAGCGGAAATTCAGAAGTTGCCGTTCCATTATTGCGTATGAACTGTAAAGAATACCAAGCAGTGCTCCAATGTCACCTGTTGCCTTTTCTTAGCGAAGCGGAGCGAAAATTGCATTTTTAGCAACAGGACCACGTGTCTTTCGATGCTTCGCAATCTACCAAAGAATGGCCTTAACCAAATGGTGCTGAAGCGATAGATTGGCTTGTGTGTTCTCCTTACTGCAACCCTATAGGGAGCCCTTGATCAAGGCGTTAACTTTAGCAACCGGCAGTATAATACCGCGGATGAACTGAAGGCGGCGGTAGAGGCTATTTGGGCCGCCAGCGACGAAACAACTATGGCGTGATTCAGATTATGTGGTACAGAGTGATTGACCTGATCAGAAACTTTGGAGGCCCCACTGATTCTGCTTAGTTTTGTATTTTGTCCTTTTTTAAGTGTCCACATACTTTTGGTACAGAGAAAAATTTTCATCCAAATTTCTTTTTTTGAAAATGAAGCGATATTATCTATAATTTTATTGATAGTAATCAACTACGGAAAATCGATTGAGTAGGACTTCATAGCACAAATTCCCTTAGTTGCGTTTTAAACGTGAATTTTGAGGGCGTCCACATACTTTTGCAACCTACTGTATAAAGGCGAAACGCATAGTAAACAGCTGACGGTCAAGCAATTGTAATTGATCCAGTGACACTTGCCCAGTCTCTAGCTGGCAATCGCCACGCGCGGCGAGCCGAGCTGGCATTTTCGGATGTCTTGGTGCGCAGCCTTGATAGGGGTGTTTTTGCATAGTTACGTTGACAATCTGAAAAAGGCTTTGAAAGCGCATCCTTCGGTTTCTTGTCGCGTACTTATTTGCATCTCCTTAAAGAAGTACAAGAACAGCTTACCCTAATTTCCAATAGATCCGCGCCGATATCGCGTAAAAACACCTCCGCTGGTGCAGTGCACGTTGTATACATACAGGGGGGCCAAAAAAAAGACATTTTGCCTATGTCGGACTTCGGCCCTTTTTTCGCGCAGATTGCCGGCGTTGACGGGAGTTCCTCAGCAGAGTATTCCCTAAGTGTCCCTCTATAAGTGAACGCAGGCCCTCCTTCACTGCCCTCACCGTCTTCAGAATATGACGTCATCTGTCACCGTCGTCAGGCTCAAGGAGGTCTACCGTAAGAGCTTCAGCCTGAAGCTCTTACGCAATTTCGTGAATCGATTTAATGTTGGATAGTTTTCTAGAGGCATTAGCTACCACTGTGCAAATCCCCTCGAAACTAGCTTTCCAGTAAAGGTCGTTATGGTACAGAATCCTTCGAAGACCCCATTGAGCTCGACCAGTGCACCATGTTTCCAGGGCAAATTCTTCTGTTGCCGTCCACGTGGGTGGCCAACATGAAGATTTTCTTATAGAATGAAATGTGCTCTTCAATATAAGTTGGGAACACTTCGGTCTCAATTGAGCAAAGTGTGCTTAAATCCATCTGAAAGTGGAGACAAAATGTCTTTTTTTTATTGCCCCCCCCTGTATAAAGATAACCGTAACATGCCATCTGCCATCAGTTGCCGTCACCTTGTTACGACCCTTGTTTTCACCGAAAACGGTGTAAACTTCAGAATAAAGCTTATTTAGTGGTTGAGTACGAAAATAACCTTTATTTTTGGCGCTAACGTTGTTCAACGCGTACTTCTCGGTTGGAGAGCGCAGACGAGCGGAAAATAGGGGCCAAACTGCGCCAGCGCCGAGAATTTCGTATCATATCCTTAATTA